AAACACAGAAAAATGATGCATTTCATACAGAATACTTAGAATGCAATATACTGTGTAATCCGAAACTTTATATCTTCAGGGAAGAAAACCTTCTATTTTAGAGGTTGTGGTTGGACCAAGAAAWCTGTAAAATGGGACAACAATGATTATAAATGGATTACCGCCATTGTAAAACTGTTTGAACATCTTTATGGAGGAGATTATCTTCAATATGTTTATGAGAAAGAGAGAGGCTCCAGAGTTCRTGAAACCAGCACCCCTACATATAAGTACAACCATGATGACTGGGAAGAAAATTATATCAAAGCCATTGAAGGAGTTTCTTCCCCCAAAAAGCCAACATCTAAAAATTGCCAGCTCTATCCGGACGAGTGTGTCGAAGCCAGTTCTACAGTTGATGATGATCATTCAGGATGTATTTCATTGACTTCAACACCTGAGAAGCCTTCAAACATGGCTCCAACTTTAGTCCCTTCTYAAGTTGTAACCCAATATGCCATCCCAACTTCTGCCATGTCGACACGTAAGGAGTTTGCAATGACGCAAATCCCTCCATTATCAAATACTCCKCGTTGCCAGATCAAAGTAATTTTTGGTACTTTCAATCCGCAAGATGCTACCACTGTTCAAGAGAGGYCATGTGAATCCACTCTGAATGACGCTTACGAAGCACTAAGAAAGACAAGAAGTGCAACAGGTGTTGAGATCGGTTGTCTAGGACAATTTAACAAAGATGGTCTAAGTATTTTAAGAAAGTACTRCGAAATACAAAGATTGAAAGATGAAGTTCTTGAGGAAGAGGCATGGTTAGATGGACCAAAAGACAGCCTTAGTGGACCAGAAATTAAAGACATCAAAGATTTCCTTTGGAATAAATCTGTTAATGCAACTATTCTGAAAGCTGGTCACAAATCCATAGATGTGTCATCCTTGTCCACCTTAGTCGGTGAAAGATATTTGGACAATTTTGTCATTGACACTGTCATCAGCAGAATCACCCAAGAGCTATCCCATGTCCTTTTTCTTCCAACAGAATCCCATGACTGGCTGAAAACAAATGATGACAAGTATATTAAGTCTAAGTTGTCCACAGTTATGAAATCAGTTACCACGCAGACCGTTAAACTTATGATATTACCATTACATATGAGTGGATGCCACTGGGGACTCATTGTTACTGATTTTGACAACAAAGATATCTATTTTGATGATGGYATGAAGTATAAACCCAGAAGGTCTGTACTSCCTAATGTCAAGAGGCTACTGCACCTAATTCACCAATTAAGTCCTGTCTTACCACAACTTGATAATGTTCAAGATTTCAAGCGATTTGGAATGCCTTCACAGCGTAACAGTAACGGAGGGCAGGGCTCTGGAAGCTGTGGTATGGGAGTGATAATGGCTGCTAGAGATTTCAGTACTCTTGGATTGAGTTCAACAGTAAACCACTTCAGCTGGAGTTTTAGCAACATGAGACAATACAGAAAGGAATTAATCTTGCAAATAGTTAAGTGGTCAAAACAGTAATGCACTATATACACTGTTAATAACATAGCTCACAATAACTTGTAATGACTGCCTTGAAGCAGCAGGTTAACTTGGCTGAAAAGCTGTTGATCTGTGAGATAAATATCTCCTGGTGCTTCATTGGGCGGCATTTAACAACAACCATGTCAATCAAATTAATTTATTCAAAAATTCTTAATATTCACAATAACTTGCAATGACTGCCTTGAAGCAGCAGGTTAACTTGGCTGAAAAGCTGTTGATCTGTGAGATAAATATCTCCTGGTGCTTCATTGGGCGGCATTTAACAACAACCATGTCAATCAAATTAATTTATNCCTAATGTCAAGAGGCTACTGCACCTAATTCACCAATTAAGTCCTGTCTTACCACAACTTGATAATGTTCAAGATTTCAAGCGATTTGGAATGCCTTCACAGCGTAACAGTAACGGAGGGCAGGGCTCTGGAAGCTGTGGTATGGGAGTGATAATGGCTGCTAGAGATTTCAGTACTCTTGGATTGAGTTCAACAGTAAACCACTTCAGCTGGAGTTTTAGCAACATGAGACAATACAGAAAGGAATTAATCTTGCAAATAGTTAAGTGGTCAAAACAGTAATGCACTATATACACTTTTAATAACATAGCTCACAATAACTTGCAATGACTGCCTTGAAGCAGCAGGTTAACTTGGCTGAAAAGCTGTTGATCTGTGAGATAAATATCTCCTGGTGCTTCATTGGGCGGCATTTAACAACAACACTGTCAATCAAATTAATGTGTTCAAAAATCCTGATATTTACCCCATATTTACAATAGCTCGAAGCAGCAGGTTAACTGAGAAGCTAAACATAAGATACCCTATCGTGTTTCATTGACTGGCGTTACAAGTAAAGTTAAATATGCCAATTTACAAAAAAACGTTCGTGTATTTCACTCATGTCCCACAAAATATTTTGGCATACCGGTAAGTGATTTTGAACTTACTATTTATATGTGTATGTTTTGTAAAATAGTTTCTTCATCATCCTTCCAACGTCACTAGATACATGTAAATAACTACAAAAACGTGCAATTAAACATCTTTTTCAAAAAGTGTTTCAATACAACTTAACTTTTCCAATATGCAATCGAATTTTCAAGTGTCCACTAGATGAATTGTGGTATAACGGGAACCAAATCAGCTCCATCTCTCTGGTTGCCCTTCCGTCCCCATTACCAATATTAATCTTTGACTTAGTAGTAGCACTTAGTCGACTTTCATTTGATTTTGCTGCTTCAAGCGCCGCTCTTCCAAACAATTCTGCTCTTTCTTCGATTTCATTAGAACCGCTAAACGACTTGGACAAGACCAATGAGATATCGGTGTTTTGGCTGAATGCTCTCAAAACGTCATCCTCGCAGTTGGTCTTATATGATAATCTTAAAACGTCTGTTCGCCACAATGGAGGTTTCAGGTGTTTTACTACTCTTGCACTGTTGATATATGCACTGTTGATATCGTACAAAAGCTGACTGAAATACTCTTGAGGGACATTAGATGCTTCTAGGTGATACCATTTCCCTGGAAAAAATATCAATGTCTTTCACTTTATGTTGGCTAAATAGTTGTCTTCTTAGCAATTTTCAATCACGAACAAAACTGATGAGACCTTTAGATAAAACTTACCTGGGACGAGAGGATTATGTGCAGAATTTATAGACTCAGTTAACTCGCCAATCCACGTGAGATATTTGCGTTTCAGTGTTTTAGAAATTCTCTTTGCTTTTGGATATGAAACGTCTTTGCCATTCCATTTGAATTTGATATTGTCTGCCGTAGTACAGCCTGGATGCTTCAAATCGACATGTTTTCGCAAAGCATTCCTCGTTTTAAATTCTTTTTCGCAGAAAATACAGCTAGTTACACAACTGTTGGCCATAGTAATAGCTTGGGTTTTAAATTTACTACAAATTAACATAGATACGCGAGTGCAAAGGTAAAACTACCAATCAAATTCATTGCTTTTCGTTAATCCAGGAAGTGACACTATGTGATACTTTGTGTCACTTCCTGGATTAACGAAAAGCATGACATTACCTGGACATTACCTGTGTCAGACACCGAAAAGCATTTGACTGCTTCGTTGTTATACTATCGGTATGAATGAATCGCAAAGCTTATATCACAAGAAAAGAAGAAAAGAACAAAAAAAACGAAGAAATAAGCGGAGAAAGGAAGAACAAGCAGCAGAACGACAGGAAGAACGGGATTTGAGGATTGCACGTAAAGTCGAGAAACGTGTTAAAGAGTGTTTGGAAGAGAAAAAGGCAACCGAACGCAAACAGGCAGCGTCTAAAAAGCCAGCAATAGCTCGGGTAAAGGAAATCCATCCCCTACATGTTGTAAAGACGAGGGTTAACTTGGGATCTGGAACCTTTGGTACTTGCTACCTAGGGCGATACCGCGGCAAAGACGTCGTTGTTAAAGAACTTCTGAAACGTAGCAAAAGTGATTCTGACAAAGAAGCATCCATTCGAACAAAAGCGGAGCTACTCAACGAAGCTAGAATCATTCAGAATCTTGGCGATCATCCCGGTATACCATTGCTGTTTGGAATTTGCAGTAAAAATCTTCCATACAAGCTAGTCCTGCAATTCCACGGTGAGCGACAAAATAGCATTACCATAGAAAAAGCGTTGACCACCCGCAAAATACCTTCAAAAGCGGCTTGGAAACAAATCATTATAAAAACTGCTGAGGYATTGCAACATATTCACAACGCCGGATATCTGCACAACGATTTAAAAACGAACAACGTTGTTCTTGACAGTGTTGTGTCAGAAAACGATGTTATTAATTACATTCCCGTTATAATTGACTTCGGTAAAAGCCGAAGCAAATCCTGCCGAAGCCATTCAGCAAAGAAGATGTCGTCAGAAGAGCAAAAGAACTACTTGTTTAAGTATCCTCGCATTGCACCGGAGATCTCCCGCGGAGAAGTGCAAAGTGAATCCAGCGACATTTACAGTTTTTCAATCTTGGTAAAACGAGTTTTCTTAAAGAGTTCCTTCGGTACCTGTCCAGAGGTTATTCTCCGTGCCTTGTCAGAAAGTCCAGGTAGCAGACCATCACTCGCTGACATAATTAAAGTGTATGCTACGTTGTAGTCAGTTTATCAAGATAATGGCCCATGTAGTGAACACTGGAGCTACTACATAATGTTTGTAATGTTTACCCTCAAATGTAATCCAAACTATTAATCGATTGTTGTGTGTTCTTTTTTGATAACCACAAGTTTTAACTTTTCAACTTTTTTGAGAACTCTTGTATCATATATTAAACATAAGTATTTTAGAGCCATTTTCTATCCGCAAAAAAAATCGCATATTAAATTCACGGTATTACTATGTACATGTAATATAAGAATCTATTTTTATAGTTAAATAAATCTCTGAGCATTTTTTTAGTTTTTTGATAAAATTTTCAACATATATATCTTTCACAGATATACACCCTATAACCAAAAAATTCTGCAACTTTTAATATATATATGTCTTTTGTTCTTGAGAGATTAAACAATGGAAACAATAGACATATATATATTGAAAGTTGCATAATTTTTTGGTTAGGTCATAACAACGTCATAACAACATCATCAATGGATGCAAAGGACGAACTTTAACTATCTAAATTGAACAATAAGTTTAACGATCCATCACATAGACTCTTGTATAGATTTATTTGCTGTATGTAAATCTATCATTATCACTGATGAAGAAACGTTTGATAAATTGATCCAATATCTAGTATTTGCCAAATGAAATCTATTTTGTTTTACGTTCACATATTATATATATGTATAAAGTGGAATTTCAAATCTATTAAAAAAAATCTAGAACGTAATCTTTTGGTCACACAAGTGCTTATAAACTAAACGAATTCATGTAATACTGCTGTGAGGTGTGGTGACATATTTCACACTTCCATTGCTAACAGAGAGCTTCCCTGCTGATGTTCCGTGGTTTCAACCCACGGACATCAGCAGGGAACTAGTATTTCAAAACTGTGTAAAGCTCGTCATGCAGGTTACACTTGAATATGAGGGAGTGTATGCATTTTTTACCTAATACAGAAAACTTCCAGTGGGAAGTTACCCTTGCATAAGTAGCCAGGCGTTCCTAGCCGCTCCGAAAGAGTTTGGGCTGGAGAAACCTGCTACTGGCTACATGGCTACGCCTGGCTGCGAGGCTAGCGCGGGTGTGGACACTATATTGATGTTTTGAATGCATTATTAATTTCTTTACTGTAAACAGGTTTTAAGCAATTCATACAAGAAACAGCAGCCAAAAGTAAAAATGCGTTAAATGAGAAAGATGAAGTAATAAAACGGCTCAAAGAGCATATTGATACCTTGAACAGTGAAATCTCCAGTAAAGTTCAATACGTGAATTCTAAAGAGGATGAAATAAAAAAGCTTAAGGCTGATCACCAATATGGATTCAGTGTTTTGGTTAAGAAATGCTCCGACATGGAAGAGAAGCTGATTAAGAGTGAGGAAACAAGATTAAACTTAGACGAACAGTCAAAGAACTTTCTTAGGGATTTACAAGTCAAACTAAAGCAGAAGGACGTTATGTTTCAAAGAACGCAAAATGAATTGAACACAGCGCGGGATACAAACAGGAAACTTACTGAACAACTCGAGGGTGCTACACAGCGTTCGAAAAAGCAGGAATTACTAGCAAAAGAAGCTGGAAAAATCATCCAAAATATCACAGATGAGAAAGATAATACCGTTATAAAGTTAAAGGAATCGAACGAACTATGTGATAAGATGCAGAAACTTTTAATGGAAAAAGATTCCATAGTAACATCACTTAAAAAGGAAAAAGTCTCTCTAACCGAGCAAATCAGGAATCTGTACCATCAAAGCTCAAAACTTCAAGACAAGCTCGAGTTGAAGAAGAAAAAGATTGAAGAATTTGAACATAACATGAAAAGACTGAAAACGTTTGTGGTGGAACTGCAACAGAAAAACAACAAAGCCGGACAGTTGAACTTTACTATTAGAGAACGGTTGGAGTGGATGAATAAGGCCAATGATGGGAACGAAAAGTTAATGAAGGACCTTAAACTAGCAAACAAGACATCTAATGATCAAAAGAACGCTTTGTCGAGAAAGCTTGCCTATCAGGAAAATCAAATACGTTCCCAGGAAAAGAGATTAAAGGAATTGAAACAGTCCTTGGCGCAAAGGAAAGCTTCTATCGTGGAGCTTGAACGTAATGTCAGAGACTTGAAATCTCGAAAGGAAGAACTTGAAAATGATACGTTTGTATTAAAAAACCGCTTGCAGGAAAGTGAGCAAAGCAATTTGACTTTGCAATCAGCTTTGAACGAACTTAAAGTCAAAGAAAATAATTTATTACTTCAAACACAAGATTTTGAAAGATGCAAAGGTGAAGAGATCAATACTCTGAAAAAAGAAATAGAAGGGTTGAGATTTTACCTAAGCCAAAGTGAAGACATTATTGCTAGTATAACAAAAGAAAGAGATACATTGATACAAGACCTTGAAAAAACAGTACAGACGCACAAAGATGTCAATCAGACGATTGAATCGTACAATAAGTGCCTTACAAATGATAAAACTGCTCTTGAAATAAAACTGAAGGACCTTGAAAATGTATTACTAGAGAGAAATAACGAAATTGGAGATTTAAAGAACGTCCTGAGCTCTGCTGAAACATCGCATTGTTACTTAACAGAGCAGGTCGCCGAGTTAAACTCATTAAAACTGGACATGGAAAAGAAAAAGGAAGAAATAAATTCTCTCAAAGAACAACTCAAGGAAATGGAGAGAGCATCTGAAAAAGAGATGCAAGAAGGACGGAAGAAAATGAAAAAAAGTGAAGAAGTTTTCACGCGACTTCGAGATGACTATCAAAAACTTGAGTCTGTCTTACGCGAAAAAGAGAGCGAGCTCCGCGAATCTCACAACACTAACAATAAAATCATTCTCGAAAATGAAGAACTTAAGGAGCTTCTCAACAAGACGTGTCATATAAACAAGCAATTAGATATGACTTTACTTGGATACAAAGAAAATGCCGATAGACACGAATCCTCACTGGCGCAGCTTAAAACGGATAACGAATTCCTGAAGGAATTTGCAAAGGATACAGAGAAAGCGAAGTTAAAGCTTGATTCTCTTGAAGGTATTGTGCATAAGCAATCGCTTCACATCGACCTGATTCCTTTCATTTTAGTTCGCTGTTTTATCCTATGTTTCTAGTTCTATTTTTCGTTCTTTTTCTACCTTCCGTTTTCACACTTCAGTCCCTTCAGCTTCACACTTTAACATTACAATTTGGCATGATACTCGTTCCTGTTGTTTATGACAAACAGAGTCCCTTCAGAAAAAGACAACTGAGTTGAAAGATCTGAATGATAAACTGTTGGCAGAGACGAAGCAGAGTTCCACACTTAGAGAAGAATTGAATAAACAAGAATCGACATGTAATAAGGTAAAAACAAGAATATTTGGCCACCAATTACAGCAGACTAGTTGAATGAACCATTACAGTTGGTGTTCCACAAGAACCAATAATTGGCCACGGACTTATAGAATACAAACATTAAATGTGTGCAACACTTTCCACTATTTACTACAAAATAGTTTCAATTAGACAATAGAAAGCAATAAAATCAGCGTAATTTAGCAGTATTTAGTGGTATTTATGTTGCACAGTTTTAGTGTTTGTACTCTATGTCAAAAAACTTTGGTGGTCTGACTAATATTGTTCACTAGGAATAAATGTTTCATTAATAATCGATTTAAGCAGTAATTGGGCATAAGTAAAACGATATAATCTAAAATCTAACAGCGGTCAAATTTCTAAAAAAAAATAATGTTCCCACAATTTGATACTTTGGTAGATGATTTTTAAAGTTTTCCAAATGAAGTCTTTGTATACAACATTTGCTTCATAGCTAAAAGACCGTTATGAAACCCGTATCAAGACGTCAGCAAGAGAAGTAGACGAACTGAGGTACATAAAATAAGATAAGCTACCAAATATTCAATTTATATGCATCATACTGCAATATTTGAGAAGTATCAACTCACAAATATCGCCTCACAATATATATTTGAGGATCAAAGTGTAGGCTTATGGTTTTCGGCAATTAAACAGACGACTTGTATCTCTCTGCTGTCACTGAGAAAACCCAGCATGAATTGGTCTTGTGTTCTTTCTTCAGTTTTCTCTGTATATTAAGAGAACCATGTGACAAACATGCTCATTTTCAGACGTTTTATATATACAGCAATTAATCCTTGGAAACTATAATTATCTAAGTCTAAGACAAAACAGTACTTTTCAAACGACAGTAGACCAGAATTGAATATCGAAGGCATTCTCCACATATTATATTACCTCTTCCTCTCCCCACGAATCAGTCTTGCTTATTGTTGGATCTTAACCATCAAGTGGTGCAACGAGGACCAAGAGCATTGTATAGGGGAGGGGGTGGGGCTATGTGTTCTTATTGTAGAGGATATAAAAGTTAAAAATAACGGTATACACCGTCCCGTCTAACACAGATGACAACACGCATATCAAACAATTGCTTTGGAGAAAAATTCATTCGTTTGCCAAACTTTTGCTGACCATATATGTTAATCTTACCTTATAAGGAAGTACGTTAGGGATTTTTTCAAGTTTTTTTCCACCTTTAGTGCTTTAAAATGGCAAAAACTTACAGAATTTGCAGAGAAATTACTTTTCAACATGTCGGCCATTATAATTTTGTCCTATTCTCCTCCTCCGATCCTTGAATATAAGGGATCCCACAAAAAACTCAGGTAGCCCGCACTTGTCCCAAAGTATACAGATATAATTCTCCAGAATTATCGTGAACTGTAGTGGATTTGATAAATTTTCTATGATTCTAGAACTATGCTGGATGAAAAGAACAAAGAAATATCAGTGATCAAAATGGAAAAGAACAGCTGCGAAATGAAACAAAGAGAAGCAGAATTTAAGGTCTTGGAGTTGACTAATAGCTTGAGAGATGAAACAGCCTACGAGCAAAACATTACACAAAGGTACGTGATATAGTGGGATAATCGACCTCCGCGATTAGTAATGTTTGAATGATAAACAAGCACCTGTGTTTCCCTGGAAGGGGGGAGTACTCCCCTAGTTTTCTATACGGCTATGTGCCGCGATATAAGTTTTTTTTTTTGTTTTGGTGCGGGGCATTTTGTCCGGGACAGGGTATAATTTTTGTCTGGGATAGGGTACAATTTGGTCGTTTTAGTCTGAACAGTATTTCATATGGTTGACATTGCTCGATCCTCCATTAATTCGACACTACGATTTTAAAACATTTCTATCTTACTCAGGAATAAAGAGCTTGAAATAGAGCTAAGAAAGATTCAATACGAGAAGAGACTTGGTCTGGTGTCGTCAAGCGTTGATGCCGCTCAGATTCTAAGGTACTGTGAAGTGCAGACAAACTTTTTGTGTTGCTAGTGAATCCAAGAAGAAACGGAAGCCACCGCTGACAGGGGTAGGGCCGTACGTCACCTTCAAGTAAAATGGTGGGGTTCTTTAAAATTATGGGATAGTTCTTCTAATTTTTAAAAAAATTTCTATGTTTTTTTAATTTATTTTTCAAATTTGTGTTTTTACTCGAGTATAGTTCCGCATACGGTCTAACAAATGTCAAGCAAACATTAAGCAAAATGGTGGGGTTCTTTGAAATTATGGCATAGTTCTACATAGTTTTACAAGAGTATATGATTCTTCTTTCGCATACGGTCCCGGCTAAACTGAACAAACTTTAGTAACTCGTAATGTTGTACTAAATTCTGCGTATTTTTCAAGTTTTTAGTGTTTGCTCTCTACAGGTTTGACTAGGGCATACTTGTGTTTGTTAATCTTAGGGAAATACCACAGACGGACATAGCAACAGAAAGGCGTCTCCAGCAAAAAGTAGACAACATCGCCCTTGATAAAATACGCAACTTGCACACTAAGGTATAGTATTCGATAAATTGATGTTCTTAATTAGCTTTTTCTTAACTTTCTTAACAAACTATTTGTAATGACTACCTGACTCATGAATTCATTAAAATGTACTAGGCCTCGAATCTTGAAGTTCAGTTGGAACAAGAACGACATGACCGAGTTAAAGAGCACGCTGAAGTAGCAAGACTAAAGGCAGAGCTTGCTGTCTACAAATCGCTACAGTGATATCAACGTCTGCTCTATTTCTTTACATTATTTTTGTACTGACAACAGGGTATGCTTTACCACGCTGCCTTAACGTTTTTTATTATATTTTTGCATTAAAACTTATACACATCATCACTATGGAAACGTATTACATATCAGTACAATGGGTGATCCCAAGGGTAGAGGGGTAACGTCATTCAGATGTCTAACCAGACCTAACCAGCTGTGCAAGTCACATTAAGGACAATATGCTGCAAAATATACAGCAAAATGTGTTATCAATATTAAAACATTCGCACACGAAACACGTCATTCATTACGTGATCTCTGATTGGTCAGAATCAGTGCCTGATCTTTGTTGTATTTTTGTTCATCCATGAGATTAACAGGCGCGTAGCGTCCTTTTACGCATATACACAAGTGCGTACTAGTAGCAAGGAAATATTAAAATTTTAGGGATTTTTTGATATAATTATCTTTGCGTGCTCTGTCGCACCAAGGCTTCGTTACCAAAAAAAAAAAAAAAACTAAAAACGGTGGAAATTGCATTTCAAAGAGTTATTATTTCAAAATTTCCTAGGGAGGACCCCCAGACCCCCCTTAATACTCCTGCATTTGACGGTCGTTAATCCCCCAACCCATAATATATGTGTCGCGGTCCCTGTATGACTTGTGCGTACTAGCCAGAGTCCACGCTACGCGCCTGATTAAGCCAACAAAAAATGAGAAAAAATTACATAAAATAAAGACAGTCCCTCTTTCCGTGCTTCTCATGACATGTACTCTAATAGATAGACAGAAGAAGTAGAAATTTGATAACAGCAGTAACGTGTCTCGACTTCGCCTCGTGACGTACTTTTTTATTCTCATCATATTTTAACGTCATCTGTGTATTTTTTAGAGTGAAAACGCACGGCAAAATTTTCTGAATAAAGATTAAAGATGATAGAGTACGACGTTTCAATGTCATCGTGACTGCATTGTCATGCAAATAAAATGTCATAGTGTTTTCTACCAAAAGCTACTATGGATACTATGCCATGATGCCAATCAGGAGTTAGGCTCTCTGATCAAAGTCAAGAAAAGTATTTTATGATAACTCTTCCGTCACCTTGATTAATTCCAACCTCGTTCTCTTGTGAGCTTCCACCATTAAATGATCCCCCTCCCCCTGCGACGCCATATGTTTCATTGCCGATAACTCCTCCTCCAGAATACCCACCACCTCCTCCTGCGTGCGTCCAGCCATAGCCTCCTCCTCCAAATCCTCCGGTTTCACTAATACCGCTTCCCCCGTGCCCACCATGAATGAAAGATTTAGAATTTTTCCCAGAATTGCTTGACTGAGTTCCATCTCCAGTGTACCCTGCACCACTGTTCGATAGCATTTGTGAGTTCGCGTCTAAATTTTCTACCTTACCACCGCTCCCCCCACTCCCACCCCCACGGGTCCCATTTGGACCAGCCTGACCAGGATCACCGTCAAGCTGCTGTCGGCAAGCAACTCCCCCGCCTCCTCCCCCTGCGGCAATTATCAATGGTGTGTTATCACTTAGAGTAACAAATGTGCCACCACCTCCTCCCCCAGGTGCGACTGGGAAGTTCAACTGCGTCAATCCTTGCTGTCCAACGATTATTTTTAGTTTATTTCCCTTTTGCAAAGAAAACGTTCCAGTAATCGAGGCTCCTCTGCCACCCTTTGTCCATCTTCCACACCCACTGCTAGTCCCATTTCCACCGGAAGCCCCGTTAGCTTTGATGACGTATTTTCCAGTTTGTGGAATCGTCCATAATTGGGTGCCCTTTACAAGTTGTACTTGCCCTTGTAGGTTTGATCCCGAGTATTGTGTAGTATTTGTGGGTCCCTTTGAACCACTTGCTCCTAGACTAGTAAACAAAAAGGTTTGGAGTTGCAAGTCTGTGAGCCAGCCATGGATAAATCCCTTTTGATATATTAACATCGCATCATTTGCAAAGTCATTCAATTCACAAAGACCTGCGTTTACAGCTTGAAAATTTGTTTCGAAATTAAATGATTGACATCTTGGCTTGCCCAGACACATTTGCGCGCATGTCATCAATGAAGCAGTCCTCAGACTCTGAAACACGTGATGTAGTAGCACGAAGTTGGTTTTCGTCTCGACGTACGACGACTTCTCGAGAGTACTACGAGTAACTCCCGACACCACCACGATAGTTTTTATAAGAACGATCCACCTCGAAGTTACAGAAAGTGACCTAGAAAAAAAATTGAAAAATAATCAAACGATTTCTCAGAAGCTACAGTATAAGAGAAAATTCTTGAAAAAAGACTTGTGTTGTCCAGAACCATCAACAAGAACCTGGTAGCAATGAAAATAAAGAGTGAGAGGAAATTAGGAAAGCTTGAATGTTACAAATTTATACAAAGTAACGATGTTATAATAAGGAGAATTTGTGCCACGCAAGTGACAGGATACGTCAATGGCTCAGCTAGCATCAACAATATGTGAGCTTTGAGCAAATATTTCAGATTAAATATTTGCTAAAAACAGTTTTTCCCATTTAATGAAAAATTACATTTTTAACTGAATAGCCTTCTTTTTGTTACTCGGATCAGCAATACAAATTGTTTGAATGTCAAGGTATATAGTAAGGCGGACTTTTTAATGCACAATAAACAGTGTTTGAGCAAACATATTTTGAACGGCTAAAACATAGTCTAAGCAAACATGATATGTTGTTGCAGGTKCTTTAGCAAAACCAAACGTCTGTAAAATGCTTACATTTTGAAGTTTTGAGGATGAATGGTGTCTTATTCTAACAGCTTATCGAGTCACCATGAATGTTGCACCAACGTAGTCTTCAAGAAATCAATATATAGTTAACCTAAGAATAGAGTAACAATTATTTGAGAGGGAGAGTGAACATTTTCTTAGAGATATCACAGCTCCCATGTTCAAACCAAAAATGTTGTTTTTCGGTGATTATCACCGATAGTACACTGTCATCATATTGAGTCATATCTATTCTTTATGAAATAATATAGATTAATTTGAGCGACAAAATAAAGGTATCATGAGCTCAAAGCCTAATTTACTCTCAAGCCACAGAAGAACGATAGAGAAATAATCTTTTTGTCGCTCTCAATTTACTATTCCTCTATGAAAACAACAGTTAAAGTAAATGATGCTTTTAAGGTTTGATGTAATTGGTATATATACATCTTGGTTCCTAGATTGAACAAAGGATGAATTTAATAGTCATTATATACAGTATATATAAGACGATATCCCGCAATGTTCGTGGACCGGTTGTACGAAGTGTGAGGAGCGCTATCCATTGCATAAATAGGTCTTATCAATTGGATAAAATCCATACAAAATCGACTGAACGAAGTATAATTTTGTCCAGTGCCATATCTATATTTTACACTACCCTTCATACAACCAATACCTGCCTATTTGTAGACTTTATCCACACTGAGTGAATGTTATTAATGTTTTCTGCGACAATGTTAACAATAGGAAAGGTCCGTTATATTCTTCTCATGTTATTCACTTATTCAACCATGTTAAACAAAATAGATCATAAGCGCTATGATCAATAGAAACTATCAAAGAAAGAAAGGCACCTCACCTTATCATTAACACCTTGTTTCGTGAACGACGAATCCATTCAGTTGTTTTGTTGAAAAGTAAACGCATCAAGAGTGCGATTCCAATCGATTTGCTGCAGGCTCAAGTGCACGTTTATTCTTGACTGGTTTGTCATTGGTCGACAGTTTTGACAGAAGGTGCTTACACAACGTTTTACAGTATGTGAACGCTGACGTAAGGAATATGGGGGCGTTTAAAAAGCGAAACCTTTTACATTAATCAGATTTAACTGATATACCCCTGCATCTCATTCGTTACTTGAATAAGTACATAGCTCCGATCACAGCACTTTTGCAATTGTATTGTGATCGGTCGACCGGGTTGAAAAGTGATGTAGTTAGATGTTGTTGTTTACTTTAGGTTCGTATTGATAAGTTGTTGGAAAACATAAAACTGACAAAACAGAAATCGTGCCTTTCGATAACGAAGATATCGCCGACATCCCAACCCCAAGGCAGCTTGCCTTAAACACTTCAGCGATAAAATTGGCAAAAACATGGTATTTGATATACTTGCCGGTGAACAGGGCCCTTCTTGCTCAAGTATTACAGTAAACAAGTTTCAAGCCTGAAACTGATTCACGTACGATTTATTGAAGACGAATCTGAGTGTGTCGAGGTGAAAGATGAGCCAAACAAAAAAAAAACGACTTGAAAAGAAATTATTGTTTCAGTGTATCACGCCCTTCATATCTATAGTTGCCAAGTAAAAGAGAGAGACTAGTACAACCAAATGTCCCCAAGAGTTTATCAGTCTCAATTATTCTAAAGTTGGGCAAAGTATTGCCTGCTGATAATTCTGTAACGGGAGAAAATTGATCAAAATTGTTTAAGGAAACAAATTAGTTATTTATTGTTTAAATTGGCAGTATTAGCAAATTGGCAAAACATTGTGTCACGATATTTACCTAGCAGGTTAAGCTAGAGTTTTTCTAAAGGACACCTGTTGCAAGTAATCTATAATTCACTATTTTAGTCACGATAGTAGGGATCGCTGATCTCAGCGTTAACTACCTGGAAATAAGTGTTAAAGCCAGGAATCTAAAGTGTTGAAAATTTACTTGTACCAGTTGTACGCTTTACTTAACTTTCTAGTTACAGCCAATAATCTCCTGCGTATGTTACCTCATCTTATGACATATTTACTCTAATCGATTTGATTGGATTTTGAGTTTTACGGATTATGGATCTGTTAGTTAATAATGCATTCATTACCTGTAACAAAAGAATCTTGTAACCGAGCTTATCGTATAAATAGATCTGAGAATCATTGTAACATTAGAGA